CTAAAAGGAACATTGCAACAACTAACTGTCAAAGAACTTGAGAAATATCTAACTCCCCATGGACTTAGCAAGTATGGTAAAAAAAGTGACAAAATAAAAACCATCAACTGCCATGTACTGCGAAATAATGAGCTTAATTCTATAAAAGCGAAACAGTTGGAAATGACAAACTCCATGTCCTGTGCTGACCAGTAAGATGACGAATCACTCTCAGATGACGATTATGTAGTTGGCACATTCGGAAGTGACAGTGAGTAAGAACGGTAAAGTAAAGAAAATGTTATTTGTTATTACCATTTGGGTATTATGTAAGAAACGGGGGCCCTTAAATCTTTTAACATGTTTGAAGGGGGGTACCTAAAAAATATGGGTGCTATTGAGTAGGGGTCTGGGATTAATTTGGGATAAAAAACAATTTCTCCTCCACCTCTCCCCCCCGTCCAACTTAAATTTGGACTGGTCCCTAACTTCTTGACCTTTCATACGGCCTCCGCGGAAAACCGGCGAAAAAAAGTCTCCACTGCTTCTGGAAAACTCTAGACTTGAGATTTATAAAGCATTTCAGGATCGCTTGACTTGTCTTAATAGACATATGATAGTTTACATAAGCTAAATCCTTTCATTTTGTGAAATTTACTGAGAATATAGGGCTGCCGGCCATTTAGTGTTTTGAAAACCTTCACCGGCAGTCAAGCTGAAAAAAGTTCTAAGTGTCACAAAACACGGTTTCCTCTTCTAAGCCCAGCGTAAACCAAACACTAGACTTGAGATCTATGAGGCATTTCAGGATCGCTTGACTTGTCTTAATCCATATGATAGTTTAGATTAGCTAGAATCTTTCGATTTTGTGAAATTTACTGAGAATATGGGACTGCCGGTCATTTAGTGTTTTTAACACCTTGACCGGTTACCGGCCATATAGCCACAGCGTATAACATAACAATCAACAACAATTCATTAAATTTACATTGCCTGTTAACCTTCCATTAAGTTCCGCAAAGAAAAAACAACAAACAAACAAACTTAATGGTAATAATGGTTAAGAACCAGGGAACCCCAGCAGTAGCCACCCTTCATAGTATACCCATCAACAATATATTGAATTTACATTACCATTGAGTTTTTTCTTCTGTTCTGCTGAAAACAAACGATATAACATCAGTACAAAATATTTTGCACAACCTCTACACATCAAGTTCATTCGTTGAAACAGGTGTTATAAGGAAAAAAAAAATACTCCTTCTTCTATACACTAGAACCATGAAGAAGGTATATGGAAGTTTGCGCATTGGTTTCGCAAACGAGGACTTTTGAAAGAAAAATGACAACACCTTTCCTTTTATATGCTTAGTAATCGTGAACATAGTAGGCAATGAATCATTTACACACACAGAAATTCAAAAAATGAGAAAATCCTAGCCGTGCGGAAGATGCTATAAAGAACTGTAATGGCTCTACCAGAAGAAGATAATAAGCGCGCTGAAAGACATAAAAAATCAAAGTAATTTCATGCATAAGATGAACCGTTCGCGAGCTTCTTGCAGTAGTAAGCTGATATAATTTCACGTTAATTTGGTTACATAGATTTCTAGGAATTAAGACAATAAAACGGAGGATTAAACTTACTCCAACAGAAGAGGTTGAGAAACAGGGAACCCAAGCAGTAGCCACCCCTCATAACATAACCATCAACAACAAATTAAATTTACATTACCTTTTAACGTTCTATTAATTTCTGCAAAGAAACAAACGATAAAATTTAGTACAAATATTTTTCTCTACCTCTGAATACTATGGAGGGTAGAGTAGATTAGCTTGATTAATACACGAAGAATGCCGGGTGATTGAGCGTCGATGTCTGGAGGCTACGCGAGTGTTTATGAAAGAAAACCGAATGTCAATATGACTTCAAAAGGCAATTCTCACTCCTTCCAGGTCATTTTTAGGAGTTCAAGTTAGATGATTCTAACAGTTTGAGCGGGGCAAATATTGCATCAATTTAAAGAATTGTAAATATTGTACTAACAAAAGAAGATAATAAGCTTCCTGAAAGGCCATCAAAAGTCAAAGTTATTTGATGAATTTACATTACCTTCAAGTGTTTCCTTCTTTTCTGCATAAAAACAAACGATATAAAATCAGTGCAAAATATTTTTCACTCCCTCTACACACCAACTCCATCCGCTGAGACAGGTGTTATAGGGAAAAAAAAACATTCTTCTTCCATACACTAAAACCATGAAGAAGGTAGACGGAAGTTTGCATTGATTTCGTAAATGAGGACTTTTGAAAGAAAAAAAAATGAAAACACCTTTCCTTTTATATGCTTAAGAAGGAAATGAATCATTTACCCACACTGCATGAAAAATTCAAAAATGAGACAATTTTAGCAGTGCGCGAGATGTTATAAAGAACTGTAATTGCAATACCAGAAGAAGATATTAAGCGCGCTGAAAGACATCAGAAATCAAACTTATTTAATGCATAAGATGAACCGCTCGCTTTTTTCAGTAGTAAGCTGGTACAAATTCAAGTTAATTTGGTTACATAGACCTTTAGTGAGTAAGACAATAAAATGGAAGATTAAACGTACTCCGACAGGAGAGGTTAAGAACGAGGGAACCCCAGCAGTAGCCACCCTTCATAATATACCCATCAACAACATATTGAATTTACATTACCTTCAAGTGTTTCTTCCTTTTCTGCAGAAAACAAACGATATAACACTCAAGTCAATGAGTTGAAACAGGTGTTTTAGGAAAAGAAAAACTTTTTGTTCCATACAGTAAAACCATGAAGAACGTAGTTGGAAGTTTGCGCATTTGTTTTTTTTTTTTGTATTTCGTATTCTATTTTATTTTACTCCATCCTATAGATCAGATACATTAGTTGTACAATATTAATAAGTACAAGGTTCTTTAAACTACTTATACATAAGAAATAATAAAGAAAAAAAATTGAATGGAGAAGGGCACATTATGGTAAAACTAATTATGGCCCTTTAACAAGATTGACTTTATTCTATTATAGCTATTGTTATTTATTAAAACACAAACACGCACGCACGCACACACACACACGCGCACGCACACAAGTCGATATTAAGCAAGATAATATTTTTTAAGTGCCTTTTTGAACAGGATTTTCGATGATTTATTGCGAATAGAAAGGGGGAGATCGTTCCAATAGTATTTTCCAATGATGGTAGGGCAAAACTTTGGAATATTAGTTCTTGAGAGGGGAATGTGTAATTGCTGAGCAGATGGACTTCGTGTAAAATAATTATGTTGCTAGGATACAAGAAATAATGGAAAATTACACGGCTTATTATCAGAGACATAATTATATAAAAACAAACAGTTGTAAAATTTAACAATATCACGAAATTTTAATACACGGCTAGATGAACATAATGAGGAGTGATATGACGTCGTAAAGGAAAGTCATTCATTACTCTAACTACTTTATTTTGTAGACGTATGAGCTGTGATGATGGATTATCATAATTATTTCCCCACAATTAGCAACCGTATATGAAATATGGGTAAAGAAGAGAATACTGATTTACTAGTTTAACATTGATTTCCAAGATAACTTTTTATCTTTGTCATAATATTAATACTCTTACTGACTTTATCACAAACATAGTCAATATGGTCTTGCAAGGACACATGTAGGTGGCTGTCAATATAGATACCTAAGTATTCAATTTTGGATAATTTCTCTAAGCATTGACCAGCTATCGATAGTGGAGGTAATAAATTATAATCTACTTTCTGACGAGGTTAAAAGATAAGATATTTAGTTTTTCTTAGATTTAAGGTTAATTTACTTGCACATGGTTTGAATTCGTAAACGAGGACTTTTAAAAGAAAAAATGACAACACCTTTCCTTTTATATGCTTAATAACCGTGAACATAGAAGGCAATGAATCATTTCCCCACACTGAAAAATTAAAAAAAATTATAAAATTCTAGCCGTGCGCGAGATATTATAAAGAACTGTAATTGCAATACCAGAAGAAGGTATTAAGCGCGCTGAAAGACATCAAAAATCAACGTTATTTCGTGCATGAGTTGAACCGTTCACTTATTGTAGTAGTAAGCTGATATAATTTCAAAAATTGATTACATAGATTTCTAGTGATTAAGAAAATAAAACGGAGGATTAAACCAACAGGAGAGGTTAAAAAACAGGGAACCCAAGCAGTAGCCACCCCTCATAACATAACAATCAACAACAAATTAAATTTACATTACCTGTTAACCTTCTATCAAGTTCTGCATAAAAAAAAAAAAAAAACGATAAAATTTAGTACAAAATATTTTTCTCTTCCTCTGAATACTAAGGAGGGTAGAGTAGATTAGCTTGATTAATACACGGAGAATGCCGGGTGATTAAGCGTTGATGTCAAGAGGCTACGCGAGGGTGTATGAACCTTTAGCGATTCAGACAACAAAACGAAAAATTAAACTTACTCCGCAGGAGAGGTTAAGAACCAGGGAACCCCAGCAGTAGCCACCCTTCATAATATACCCATCAACAATATATTGAATTTACATTACCATTAAGTTTTTTCTTCTGTTCTGCTGAAAACAAACGATATAACATCAGTACAAAATATTTTGCACAACCTCTACACATCAAGTTCATGCGTTGAAACAGGTGTTACAAGGAAAAAAAAATACTCCTTCTTTTATACACTAGAACCATGAAGAAGGTATACGGAAGTTTGCGCATTGCTTTCGTAAACGAGGACTTTTGAAAGAAAAAATGACAACATCTTTCCTTTTATATGCTTAATAATCGTGAACATAGTAGGTAATGAATCATTTACCCACACAGAAATTCAAAAAATGAGAAAATCCTAGCCGTGCGCTAGCCTGAATTTCAAGGCTAATGAAGCTCAGCAATAATGAGGGAGTCATTGCAGACTTAGCTGGCCGGCAATTACGGCAGGTCACTGCAGTGATGAGGAACTGGAAACGAAATTGGTGGCTCGACTGGATTTTTTGAGGGGGATACCTCCCAAGTTTGAGCATTAACTACGTCGGCATGAGTAAAAATATGGAAAAATGGTTACCACAACTGTATTATATAAAGATGAAAATTTCTTATGATCTTGGTTTTATTGCAATCGGAGTCGCCATTGCAACGTAATGATGCCATTACGTTTTTCATTTATCGTTGCGTTTCTCTGTACCAGGAGTTTTTTGAAGAAATCGCTTAAGGGAGTATGTACCTGCCATAATTGCCTCCATTATGGCAATGTTTGAAGAAATTCTATGAGAGCGTTTTCGAAATATTCTGAAATGCAGTTTTAAGAATCATAAAAACAGTGAAATAGCATGCTAGCCGCACAATTCGATAATATTTTAAGAAAATGATGAGCTTTTGAAAACAATGCCAGTGAATAATGAGGACGCTCGCTTATAAACACAAAATCTGGGGGGGAAATTGGCTATATTTGAGGCCCTATTTAAAAGTCTTCCCTATTTTCAATGTTCTTAAAACTTGCAGGGAATATTTCTTGACGATTAATCTCGGGATTGTCGAATTTATAAAAAAAATTATCGAGCAGTTTTTGGAAAAATGCGAAATTTTTAGGCATGGATCAAATTATCTCCAAAAACTGTATCAAAAGCATCTGAATGCAAGTTAATAAAATCCGTCTTACTTGCCATCGCCCTGAGCAATTCCCCTCTTTTTTTGTATGCAGTTTTCAATGGAATCAAACCACTATGAAATGAAGCCGCGTTCCCAAAGCTTATCATTTTCTTAAAATATTAGCGAATTTTGCGGCTAGCTTGCTATTTCACTGCTTTGATGGTTCTTAAAACTGCATTTCAGAATATTTCGAAAACGCTCTCATAGAATTTCTTCAAACTTTGCCATAATGGAGGCAATTATGGCAGGCACATACTCCCTTAAGCGATTTTTTCAAAAAACTCCTGGTACAGAGAAATACAACGATAAATGAAAAACGTAATGGCGTCATTACGTTGCCATGGCGACTCCGATTGCAATAAAACCCAGATCATAAGAAATTTTCATCTTTATATAATACAGTTGTGGTAACCTTTTTTCCATATCTTTACTCATGGCGACGTAGTTAATGCTCAAACTTGGGAGGTATCAACCCCAAAAAATCCAGTCGAGCCACCTTAATTCATGCAAAAAGTAAAACACGATTTTCAAGTGGCAAACCGAGAAATATGGTTTGGAAATGTGTGCATGATACAGAACTGCTTTATTTTTTTCGATCGTAATTCATGTTTAACGTTCAAACTAACAACTGCATGCAGTACAACTCTGAACCTGTTGTACTAAATTCTATAATCAAACTCGGTCGCAATCACGTAATGAAATAAACACACACACTGAACACTTAGTTCAAAAACACAATGATTTACTTTAGTTGAAAAGAAGCTATTTGGTCCTTAACAAAGAAAAAAAACAAGGAGACAAGAAAGAAAAGCTAACAGAATCATTACACTTGACGGTAAAAATAGCAAGAAGGTCGAATTATAACATTGACCTCAGAAAACTTCGCGTAAACAAAATCACTGGCCGCCGAAACCACAAAGCGGCTGTAAAATGAAAAACCTTCCAACTCTTCGCAATGATTCTTCATTCGTAGTTCAATTTAGCATTTCAGTTTCGAAGACAAGGGCAATTTTGCTTTTTAAGATAAAGATTGAGCTTATCGAAATGTTTGAATTCAACGAAAGAATGCCAGGGATGCGATCCGCTGAATATCAATATTCAAGCGACAATCCCGCTAAAATTTTTCATGATTATACATAATTATGCGAATGTTTAGACAATCAACCAATCAAAATCACTACCCGGTTTTCGGGTAGTGAGTGACGTCACTGGACGGCATTAACGGCCGGTCGATTCAGACGTTGTTGAGAGGAGAAAACGACTCGAAGCAATCGGATGAATTTCAGGCTAAGCCGTGCGCAAGATATTATAAAGAATTGTAATTTTAATATCAGAAGAAGACAATAAGCGCGCTAAAAGACAGAAAAAAATCAAAGTTATTTCATGCATAAGATGAACCGTTCTTTTGTGGCAGTAGTAAGCTCGCGCGCTGATATAATTTTAAGTTGATTTGGTTACATAGATTTTTAGTGATTGAGATAACAAAACGAAAGATTAAACTTACTCCGACAGGAGTGGTTAAGAACCAGGGAACCCCAGCAGTAGCAACCCTTCATAATATACCCATCACCAATTTATTGAATTAACATTACCTTCAAGTGTCTCCTCCTCTTCTGCAGAAAATAAAAAATATAACATCAGTCCAAAATATTTTTCACTACCTCTTCACACCAACTCCATGGGCTGAGACAGGTGTTACAGGAAAAAAAATCTTTTTCTATACACTAAAACCATAAAGAAGGTAGTCGGAAGTGTGCGCATTGGTTTCGTAAACGAGGACTTTTAAAAGCAAAAATGACAACACCTTTCCTTTTATATGCTTAATAATCGTGAACATAGAAGGCAATGAATCATTTACCCACACCGAAAAATTAAAAAAAAATTCAAGAAAATTCTAGCCGTGCGCGAGATGTTATAAAGAACTGTAATAGACCTTTTTACCGATACGGCAGTCATATTGAATTAATTCGATTTTAGGAGTATTATAGGATGCCCAGGGGACATGAGCACATTTCGTTTGTATTTTCGAGCGCTTTTTGAGACATTTTTTCTTAAAGTTTTCTTAGAATAAGATTGTAATAAGAAAAAAGATCCTTGTGCCGTGTTTGGTTGTCATGCCTGAATGATCGCCCTTTTCTAGTTTAGTATTAGAAATATGGTCTTTCACTGTATATTTCTCGGGAAAAAGGCGATCATTATTACATCCAAACACGGCACAAGGATCTTTTCCTTTTCCCTCAATATTGGTCTTGAACTTGAACAATTCCACCAAAAAATCATTTCAAAACAACATTGGAAGAGAGAAGGACATGTATCAGAGCAGTGTGACACAAGTTGAGTGTCAGAGATTGTAGTTGAGAAACATATTACCACCACGAGAAATGATCGTTGAATCTCGCATTTTGCCTACACCACCCAGAGAGACACCCACACAAGAATAAATACAGAGGCCGGTAGGTCAGCAGGGACCTCAAACACAGTTTATTTCCGTTAGATTACATGACCACACTTCATTACAAAACGCCCTATGAAAAATACAAACCTCGAAAGAAACCAAGTACGACACCGCCGCGGATACGAAAACCCAAAACCACTCTGTGGAAAAGCGGGGAACGTATGCCCCCACCTGCTGAAATCAGCAGCGGTGCCGACAACTTGGGGGCAGAGCCACCTGGAGTTATGAAAACCGGGTTAGCGAATATTTTGTAATTTCTCTTAACTTCCCCTGTGTAATAGCTTGTTTACTGAGCAGTTTGCTTATGTCGTTTTTTTGGTCCTTTTGTGGTTACGGCTTTGTGTAGATATGCATGGCTGTCGACAGAATTTTGCGGATTTTTAATTACCCTGCCCCCTTACTCCCTCCCTCTGTTTTTTTTCTCCTTCCTACCCACAATTGTGTCTTAAAAACAAATGACAGTTATTTGAAATAAGTGTGCGCCTAAAGCTGGCTTCGGTGCCGTTTAGCAGTTTACATTTCTTTATTACTCACCTTGAAAAAAGTTTCCCGGAGAGCATCATGTAAAGGTCTCAGATGGGGCAAAGGTATTACGATTCGCAGAGTCTGCATCGTCCAATATCGTATTGTATTCTCGTTTCATTTGGCTACACGGATCAATCACCCTGATCCGGGCTCAGACAAAAAGGTACGATATTGTTCGCATTGATCTAAGGTGACCACTAAGTCTTTGTCCTCGGGAACAGGCTCTTAGGAGTCAAATGAATTAGGAGGGAGCAAAATTGCCGGTAGACTTTGACCCAGGCCAAGACTTATTTTTCTGGTGTATGAATAAGGCTAGGCTGGTCTGCCGACCGTGTGACTCTACATCCGGGAACTTGAATAAGACGATTGTAAGACAAAAGTCCAGAGGCGTGTATCTGCTTATAGGGCCGAGTTATTCGATGATATTTGGCTTGCGTTAAACGTCAGAAGATTCTGCGTGGTTGTGGATAGTCTCATCCGCGCCGCGAAAGTGTGTGATTGTGTGATTTCCGCGTGGTGTTGACAGGTATGTGGTCGCGTGGTTGAGCTGTTTCACTAAAATATTTTGTGCAGCCATAAAAACGTTTCTTCGGTGTTTAGTTTAGCTGATTGTACCTTAGAAAAGCAACTGTCGACTCAGGAAAATTGGATCTAGGTCTGGTTTCAGCGGGCTCTAACGGCTTTGAACCAAAAGGCGGACTGGACGAGGGTGATAATTTGTGTAGTATGTTTCTTCAGTTTGTTTTCTATTCCATGCGAAACCCTGTCGTTTATCGGACCGCGAAAAAAGTGGTGTTTTGCTAACTAGATGCCCTTTCCCACTTATTAGCCAATATAGTTCATGCGTTTTCAGTTCTTGCCATAACTGAGACATGGGTCAAAGAAAGTAATGTTAATGACTTAAGCTTTGAAGGTTACGGTTTTGTTAGCAACCATGGCTCTTTATCGATCAAAATTTCTCATATAAAATCCTGCCAGAGTTTAATGTTTCCGACGCAAATATTATTGAGTCTCTTTTCGTTGAAATTTTCATTGCACGACATAAAAATAGGGTAATTGGAGTTATTTATCGCCCTCCTTCTGAAAACACTCTGGAATTCATAGAGAAAATTATCTCAGGTGTTACCAAAGGCAATAAGCATTGTTATATAACTGGTGATTTTAATTTGGATGTACTGAAGCATGAATCTCATTCAGTCACTGCTCAATTCATTGAATCGCTTTTTTGCTTTTGGTTTTCTGCCAGTGATTACAAGACCCACAAGAATTACAGCACATTCCACGACGCTTATAGACAACATTTTTACGAACAATACTACAGTATCCTCATAAAGTGGTTTGATCATAAGTGATATCTCAGATCGCCTACCGACCTTTTCAATTGTTTTTGGTAATTACTTGCGTAAAGATAGCAACAGCTTTACTATCCGAGATAGCAGCGAGATAAGAGTCAATGAATTTAGACACAAACTAGAAAATACAAACTGGGATTTCTCTGATCAGGCGAACAATGCCAATGATCCCAAGGAAACCTTGGCTTACAAAGAGCTTACTTAGGTCAATCAATAACAAAAATATGCTATATAAGTAATACCTTCGTCATCGATGGAATGAAAAACTTCTCAATTACAAAACGTACAAAAACAAACTAATCTTCTTAGAGTTGCCAAGAGGCTCTATTTTCAAAATCAAATTGAAATTTAAATAAGACTAACATCAAGCAGACGTGGAGGATTTTGAACAATGCAATAGGCCAAAACAAAAAGAAGAAATTGACATACCCATTAGTAGACGAAAATAGTGAAAGCATTAGTAGCACAGAAAAAGTCGCCAACAAATTCTGTAAATATTTTACAAACATCGGTCCAAATTTGGTCGATAAAATAGCCCCTACCTCCAAGTTGTTCCAGGATTTTATAAACAGTGTGCCCTCAGACTCGCTGTCAAGCTTCACTCATGTAACCGCCGAGGAACTCAAAACAACAACAAAAGGTTTTAAGGACGGTAAGGCCTCCGGAGCTGACAACATTCCAATTTCTATTATCAAAAAAACACTCGACCTTATTTCAGATCCGCTGCTATCAATTATTAACCTATCTTTGTCATCAGGAGTTTTTCCAGACAGACTGAAAATATCTAAAATTATTCCTATCTTTAAATCTGATAACGCTATACTAGCTGAGCACAAAACTACCTACCAATTTCTATACTTCCGGCCTTTTCTAAAATTTTCGAAAGAGCCGTTTATAATCACATATTTCAATTCTTAGTCGATAATGACATATTATTTAAACATCAATTCGGTTTTCTTCCTGGCCACTCTACTTCCAACGCTTTGATTAATCTTGTGAACAAAGTTGCTAACGCCGTTGACTGCCAAAAATATTTAGCCGGAATATTTCTTGACTTATCAAAAGCCTTTGATAACCTAGATCGTGCAATGCTACTATCAAGATTGGAAGCATGTGGCATCACTGGGAACAGTCCATCAATGAATAACTGACTATTTTCGTAATAGAATGCAATATGTCCAAATTGACGATTCTAAGTCTGGTGCTTTAAGACAGATTTGTGGTGTACTGCAAGGTTCTATACTAGCCCCCCTCTTTTTTATTATTTTTATCAATGATCTCCCTGCCTGCTCTAGCTCTAATGAACTCGAATTTATATTATTTGCTGATGACACCAGTATATTTTTAACATAGTGACCTGGATGTACTTAAATCCCATCTCAACGACCAACTCTACAATGTTTCAACTTGGCTAAAAGCCAGTAAGTTATCAATCAACGTTAAGAAAACAATTTTCAAACCAAGGCAAAAAACGTTAGTTAGCTATCACAAGGCAGATTATTATCGAAAATAAAGTACTTGAACAAGTAGATAATATTAAGTTCCTCGGAGTATATATTGATCAGCACCTTACGTGGAAAACTCATGTTAATTTTATCGCGGCTAAGATTTCTAAATCTGTCGGGTTACTTTATAAAGCTAAATACTATTTGCCCTCAAAATCTCTTCTTACACTATGCCACGCGCTTATTTATCCATATCTTACCTACTGCAATTTAATTTGGGCCTCTTCTTATGTCACCAACCTGCAACGAATTTACCTACTACAGAAAAGAGCAGTCCGGGCGATCTCTAAGGTTGACTTCAAGTAAACCTCTTTTTGCAAATTTGAAAATTCTTGATGTTTTTTGTATCTACTCGCTCCAAGTAAGTTCTTTCATGTACCTATATCATAATGACGCCAATTACCTATTGCTTTTACTCAAATCTTTCAAACTAGAAATCCGATTCATCAATATTCAACAAGATACTCTGACTTTTACCGACCTCATACATGTAGAACAAATATTAAAAAAAATTTCGATCCTGCACAGTAATTTTTAGGGAGTTATTATAACTCCAAAAATGGGGTAAAATTTTCCCCCTTTTTGGGGTTACTTTAACTCCTAATTTAACTGCAAATTTGGGGTCACTTTTACTCCTGAAATAGAGTTCTTTTTACTCCAAGTCTGGAGTTAAAATAACTCCCAAATATTAAATGGGGTTCTTTTTACTCCTTACATGGTTGTAAAGTGGTGTATAAATTTTAGGTACTGGATTACTCCTTTTTGGGGGTTATTTTAACTACTTAATATCTGGGGTCATCTTTACTCCCGAAAAAGAGTTCTTTAAACTCCTTTTTGGAGTGAAAATAACTCCCCAAAAAATAACTCCACCGTAAGGAGTTAAATTACGCCCCACTAGAGGAGTTATTATAACTCCTAAAGAATTACTGTGTGTTTCAAGGTCCTAGAATATGGAATTCATTACCAAACAACATCAAAAACGCCCCGACTTTTAATATATTCAAGCATGTGATCGAACCATTTTTAATCAGACAAGATACAACCTAAATACCTTAACACTTTATATCTATATTTTTCTCTAAACACACTTATATACTTAAAATACAGGTTTTTTTTTTATTTTTAAATGCCGCCTAGTATTTAAATTGCCCGTGGGGGGAAATCTCTATTCCTCATGAGCTTGATTTCTTGGAGATTTCCCCGCCACAGTCACCCCTTCCATGTTGTATGCTCATTTTTAATTTAAAATTAATTAACCTATTTATTATTTGTAATTTATTCTGTGGGGCAAAATAATAAAATAAGATAAAATAAACTATTTAAGTTGTTATGTAAGCCTTAACCAGACACCTTTCGCTGCAGTTCACTCAACTTAAAAAATTTCTAGACTGAAATGACACCAGTTTGAAACTTCAAGAAGTCACATTACTGAATAAATGTTCTAAAGTTTGCGTCATTTTAAATTTGGACTCGTTGAAATGCTTCTAGTAACCACTAAGTTACTACCCGTAGTCAGATAAAGGCCTCTAAGGTGATTCCCTGGTTTTGCACTGCGCATCTCTTACTGCGCATAACAAGATGGCCGCCGTAAATAAGAGCATGTGAAGTAACATTATTAAAATGAAGTTGAATGAAGAAAAACGCTATTGGAAGTTTTGCTTGCGGTTGTTTCTTGCCGAGGTGAGACTCAATGTGTTGGGAATGTGCACTGATAACATAAGCAGTATGCGCGTTGCTGAGTTCGACTTCCTCACGGAGAACCTAGATAGTGGATGTTTAAGTTGTCCTTACTCACTTTGATTTTCATTTAAACGCTTTCTTTATCACATTGTGTCCAAAATGTGATATACCGATGTAAATTCGGTAAAAACGGAGTGTTTAATACTTTCTTCCCCCTTTCACGTACATTCTATTTTGAAACTCGCCCCAGTCCTCTCTCAAAAATCGGATAAAAAGCATTTGTTGCGCACTTTCTGCAGCTCTACCGCAAAAACGAGTACGGCGGCCCCCATTTTTTATTTCATGATTTTAATAAGGACAGTGCTTCCTTTCGATGAGAAAAAAATTGGCCCAAATCTATGTTCAGTTTTTTGGCAATTTTACTTAATTGTACGGATTGAGCTAACACTGGTCGAATAGCGGGTGTTCGATTTAATTCTACTTTGGAGAGGAAAGTAAAAACAAGGGCATTAAAAGGCACTTTTCTGGTATGTAAGTGGATAAACAATACATTAAAGTCAAATTCTGTGCGATACCGCGTGCATCATCGAAAAAATGTCTCCTTTTTGTCTAGTTTTGGGCTGCGCGCGGTTTTTGTCGCGGTTTTTGCCGTCCTAAATAGCCGTATTTGTCAGCATTGTGACGTCCAAACAAGCACGGTGACCCCCACTTTTTATTACTTTTTTGTCATCTTTTTGACTTGTTACATTAGTGTACCAAGTTTCATCTACAATCTATGTTAGGTTCTTTTACTAAGGAATCATCTTAAGCGGCCTTTGAGTGAAGTTTTATTGTTTTAAATTGCCAAGTCACGAGTAGAATGAGTTGATATTTTTGCTAACCCGGTTTTCAAAAATCTAGGTTTAAATATAAGACTTAAAATATAGCAAATAAAATAAACGTTAGGAGTTCGAATGAATGCTGACTTAGACTGATTCAAATTTTCAAAGTACAACTAAACATATGTCGAAAAGCTACCCACAATTCCTCCTAACCGGCCCAGTCCCTGGTCCGTACCGGCAAAATTGCTATTTCTGTCTGTTCCGTTGTACTGCACTGTCAGAAATACCATTTTCACTCACCAGCTCGAGGTGCGCTGGCCATCTTTGTAATTTAATGTTAGTGAATAATCTTGTAACGCTCTGAAAAAAGAATAAATAACCATTGGAAAAATAATTCAAGGTAAACTCCCGATAAGGGGTTCATGTAACAAATGTAAATTAGATTAAACCGCAGTTAAAGACGAAAACTATGCAATTTCGAAAAGAAAGCCTGAAAAAATTCAGCTAACGGGACAAAATAACTGGAAAATTTAGACCCCCTTCCCCTCCCCCCTCTTAAATCAAGGATGAGAAAAAGACACATTTTGCCTTTCGCGTGGCTTTATCCTTGATTTGGGACGGATGGGGGCTTGCTGTTCCATTTTATTCTGTCCAAGATTGTAGCTAGCAAGCTAACTCAGTGAGAGCTGGTCATTAAAGAGGATAATGTCACCTGGAGAGCATGCATGCTGGGGTTATGCAAATTACTTACATCTGTCAATGTAACGTTTAAACACAGGCGAACCATACGAACTGTTCAACGCTTCGTGATGTCACGCGCCACATAGTCCAGGCATTTTCATCGCGAAAAGTCGGTCAACCTGCCACTAATTGCAAAAGAAGGTTTTTTAACGGTTTTTGGTTCAGGAACATGTCCTCTATAACATATAAAAAGTTCCCCAAAATCCGAGTAGGGGAAGTTGACGAAAAACGAGTTTTTTTAGAGCCCGTACAG